CTGCCTACTAAGTAACTCCCTTACAGAAAGCGCATTCCGCTGACAAGCTTTTTGTGACTATTTCATCGGCTATTCGGTGGCCTTTGATTGTCAAGAGTCCGTGATACCGCCGTTCTTCATCCCAAAATTTCTGCTTCCGTCCCAACTTACAGCAAGGGACGGGATGGAGGTGACAGTCAGGAAGTACACTGAGGGGTAGCGGTACGTACCTGCCCCCGGCTGAGGCCGTGCGTTAGCTGCTGGGGTACCCTTGTAACTCCACGCCTTGGCGCCCTTGATGGCTCTGGGCCCAGAAAAAAAGTTGAAAGTTTACCGGGCCCGTTCAATTCATCCGTTAGATGTAGCAACAACTGCCCAGCATCACGTCGAAGTTTGAACTGCGACCTGGAAAATCAATCCTACCCTACAATTCATTCACCGCGACAATCACTAATCCCACTGCCGTGTTACCACATTGTTGCCGATATGCCGTCCGGTAACAAGGGCAAAAACCGCTCCGGCGGATCGCTGTCGCTCAAGACCTCCAACAAGATTGTCAGAAAGCAATTATACGTCAAGCAAAAGAAGGAGCAGGGAAAGGAACGCCATGAGGAGCGTCACCGCCGGAGGAAGGAGGAGGCCAAGGATCCCAAACTCAGAGAAGAGCGCCTCGCAAACAACCAACCCTTGACCATTGAGAGGAAACGTGTGTGGGATGATGTTGACGACGACAGCCTGGGCGTCGCTGTGGATGTTGCCGAGCTCAAGAGAAGGCGCTTGGAGAAGGAGGAGGCCGAGGCCGCCAGGCTAGCCGATGGAGTCACGGAGGAGGATGAGGAGAAGGACGACGATGCCGATTCTATGTTGGACTCGGACGAGGAGGGCGACGACGACGACGAAGATGCCGAGGAGCGCATCGAGAGACTCAGACAGGAGCGCGCGCAGAGGAAACCCAGCATCGCTCCCTCGACCACGTCGACAAATCTAGACATGACTCCCGACTCGCTCACACGACAATTCCCCAATCTCTTCAACGAGGAACCCCCAGTCGACCCCAAGATTCTGGTCACCACCCATTTGAACGGCACCATTCACAAGGAGGCGGAGGACATTGCTGCCATCTTTCCCAACAGCACGTACATCAGACGCAGTGCGCACGCTTATGGACACAAGTATAGTGTTCGCGAGATCGCAAAGTTTGCCAAGAGTGAGTAGCGCACCCAGGTTGGAGCTTTGTTGCCCAAGAGAAGATTGCTAATACAGGCCTGAATTCTTACAGACCGTGGATACACGATTCTCATGATTGTCGGCGAAGATCTCAAGAAGCCTAGCTCCCTGACCGTCATCCATCTCAACGGCGAAGATGTTGCCCCTGGTCCTTCGTTGACATACACCATCCGGCATTACCTGCCTGGAAAGGCTCTCCTTGGCCACGGTAACCCCACAAACCACTACGTAAGCCGTCCATCCTGACCCCTAAATCCATTAAGTACAGGACATTGAGACTAAGTATTGCAACCAAAAAAACACAGCCCGAGCTTCTCCTCAATGGATTCAAGACCCCTCTCGGTATCCTCGCCGCTAAATCCATGCACACCATGTTCCCTCCCAGGCCCGAGCTTTCGGGTCGCCAGGTCGTGACACTGCACAACCAGCGTGATTACATCTTCTTTCGCCGCCACCGCTACGTCTTCCGCGAGGCCCGCGCGACGGAGAAGAACGTAGTCACTGCGGAGGGCAAGGAGATGGAGGGTATGCAGGGTATCCGTGCTGGTTTGCAGGAGATTGGACCCAGTAAGTCTTGCTACCGCGGAAAACAATAGTTTTGGTGGATGAACCGAAAGTGGCTGACTTGTTATGATAGGATTCACCCTCAAGCTTCGTAGAGTGGATAAGGGTATTGGTCGGGCTGGCAGCGAAGGAGAGGATGCTTTGAAGTGGGAGTGGAAGGCCAAGATGGAGAAGGTTCGCACGCGCTTCAACCTCTAAGGGGGCTGATCATGATGGTAGTATTGGTGATACCCTTCTTTCAGTATGCCATCGTCTCTGTTGGCACTGGAGAGTATTTGTCTTGTTCAAAGTGTGTATGTGGCGTTATCGGTTCACAAAAAGGTTTGGGAGGAAGGCATGATTCATCAATATCAGGTCACTGTGACTGTACTTCAAGACTACCTATTTTCTGTGCATGTACCGCCGGTTTCCTCTCCCTTTCTACGATTTATGACCAGCCTTCTTGGCTTTCTCCTTGAGCATAGCCACTGAATATCTAACCCAGCAACGACAGGTCAGCTATACTTCTCGGCATCATCGGCAAGAGAAGCTGGAGATGCCGCCCAGTTTGCGGTGATAGTGGGCGATCCAGATGGTGTAGAGGGACGAGCCGAGGATGCCGAGAAGTGAGAAGAGGATGCCCTAGGGGATTATGGTTTCGACTTGCTTTTGGGTTTGATCTGTTGCTGAACCAGGTACGGTTTCGGTTGAAGGAGGTAAAAGGTAAGGTATCATAATGACTGACTATCCACACCCCGCACACAAGCTGGGACCAAAGCCAACATCGCTCTCTCGGGTAAGACGGAGTGGTAGAGAACGTGATTCGTCACGCCACGGTTGGCGTGAGCAAGAATCAAGCGATTTGGTAGAAGGTTACAGAATCAAAAGCTATTAGCCAATTAGGGAGGATCACATCGAGGGACATGGCCACGCTGAGAGGAGTGTCTCGGGGAGAGATGGAGCGAGGACGAAGAGCGAGAGGGGAGGTCGCGATAGGAGGGAGACGGTCAGGTAGGTGGTGAGGAAGTGGAAGGTTGCGAAGGAGAGCTGGGTGAATTGGAAGGATGGGGTGGAGAAATGGACTGAATTGTGAAAACCTGGGTTGATTCGGTTGTTAGTAAGGGACTATTGGGAGAGGAGAGCAGGGAAAGATGAACAATCAATATTGAGACTATGATGTTGACCGCCATTCAGATGAAGGCGGGTGCGGGAGAGTTTTCTCCAGATGGTCGATGTGTTTGGTTTTCCTATTTAGAAAGCAAGAGGCTTTAATCTTATTTATCTTTATCAACTTTGAGGTCTCCCGGTATCTTGGGCTTTTCGAGATGAAAGCTGTCATTTCCGATTCGGGTGTTTATCTCGCTGGTCCTGATTGAACTAGCTCACTCCGAGGGTGACGATGCGCTTGTGGCCGTGTTATCTTGATCTCCTAACATCTCGTTCGTCAAGTGTTCCGGTATTCTTGCTAGGGAAATGTTGAAGTTAGAAATTAGATGACGGGCAATATGATGCTAGACCGAGACGGTAGCTCTTTCATCGGATAACGCGGGTATCAGGGTCACATCGATCAGTTACCAATCGGCTACAACATGTTGAGTGTGAAAGCAATATATATGGAAGGAAATGTCAAACCCTCACGGAAGAGGAAAAGATCACATCGACCACGGGTCTCTGTGTAAGACAAGATCCGACAAGTACATAAGCCTTTCCAAAACATCTCGTATGTCTAGACTACTGAGACCATCAACATATTCTGGGGTCCTCGGCATTAGCAATGATTTTGGTGCTGAATCCGAAACTGTTTCTGTCTTGGCTTTAGAGAGTTTCCTTCCGTGGATGAACCAGAGTGTGTGCCAAGACGAGGAGATAGCCATCATATCCATCGCTCAGTGAAATTTCGGCTCAAGTGACACTTGGGTCAAGTTCGTACATGAAAATGCAACACGGTTCAGCGCAGCTTCGAGCGACTTGACGTCTCGATCCGCGATGACCAGCATACAGGCCGATACATGTGCCAATGTGGAGGTGGGTGTGGTATCCTGGCTGCAGTGCAGGCCGTTGAGAATGATGCGCCTCGCATGAAGCTAGTGGAAAATCTCGTTTACGGCGGAAAAGTGCTCGGACAGAAAGAAAACGGTTTCTTCAGGAATGAAGGCGTGTGTTTGCTGGCATTGATTGGGTCTTCCATTGTCTCGTTCATAGTGGCCAAAGGGATGAAGACCAGATGGATATGTAGGAGGAAGGCCGTTAGGGTTAGGTTATCATTAGAATGGCCGTTAGGGTTAGGTTATCATTAGAATGGCCGTTATGACGCACTGCAGACCTCCACCAGGAGAGCGGAGAACCCTAAACTTTACACTACACTAATGCGGAGATGGTGTATGGGGAAATCGGCGGCCAGTGGACATTTATGCGGGGCAGGAATGGAATTTCAACCGCGCCTATCAGGAACACAGAAGTTGGGTATTCCCATGCTTTTTCCACTTCGAGCTGTCGAGTCATTGAATTAATTCAAACTGCAGTTGGGTTATGCCCCCGTGGGGACTCGGGGGCATATCGTTATTTAAAGCCCCAGTGGTGGTGATAACCAAGTTTCAGTTCAGGGGCAGCACCGCAATCGTCCCAACCAAGTCCCAGAACAAACCGGGCAGAAACCTTGGACTGTCGTTGAAGTGTGGCAGTGACATCCTCCCGCGGATCTTTGCCCGTAGCGTCAGGCAACTTTCAGGGCTGTACAGGCATGATTACTTTGCTTCCATTGGTAGCAAGTCAAAATTGAATTCTCTAGAAGAGAACGGAACCCAAATCACAAAATCAAAACACAAAAGTGGCAAACCCCAACCTTCCATTGTTTCTCTTCTCCCATCATCATCATCATCATCATCATCATCACTCTCTTTCTCACGCGTTACGTACCCTCTTATCCCCAGCCGAGGTGGTATACCGGTGCGCATACCGAATCGGTGCACCGAGTCTTGGGTGTCCGGAGGGCCAGGGTCCGCCAGGGATTAATGCGACCATTACCATTACGACAATTACGAGAGCTTGACTTTCTTCCACCACATTCATGCCAACTTGGTTGTGTCACTGTCACGCCGTTGTCACTCGTTTGCTCCTCGTTTCTTCAACCTGCGTTCCTTCTCGGTTCCGCCCTCATCATTCGCATGGCGCGTTCAGTCCGTGACTACTACTCTCGACCCTTTCGAAGACTAAAACAGGCGCCACATCCTCGAGGTTTTGTCAAGTAACTTACACGATACCCTCGCGCGTCTATGCGCTCTGCATATTTCACTGCACCTTTTATGTATGTGGTTGCCCAAGACACATGTCTCCAATGACGCGGTGCGAGTCTATCATAGATTCAGTTACTTACAAATGGGAGAAGGAATGTAGCCATTTAGAAAGGAAAAAAATAACCTCACATAATAATAATAAACCCAGTCATCGGGCGTACGCATACGCCTCCACGCGAACTCCCGGGTGGCTCATAAGGAAGGGTGCACCGCATCCAGCCACTTTGCCATCAGACCTCGTTTTCTTCGGGTATACAGAGGCGGCAAGAACCAAATAATGACTTTCGCAACACAAGAGTCAACCAGCCCGTACAACGGCGGTGAGTCCACTTTCCAATGATGGAACTCACTGCTTGTCTTTCACTTGTTTGATTTTTATGCTAACTCATCTTCGTCTTGTTAGCAGTTACGCCTATTTCACCCAGCTCTCAACAGGAGAGCCCTTTCGAGGGCAACGAAATTTGGCGTGATGCTCCTGTGTTCACCGGCACTACAAAGTTTGATCCTCTGCCTGATGTAAAGAACATCATGGTGACAGGAGGCGCTGGTTTCATGTAAGACTTACCCTACCCACGATTACCGACCCCTGTCTAGCATGAATCCGCCTGTCTTGTTTTCTTATCCGTACCTTTGGTTAACAGAGTTGGTATGTCAGAGCATGTTGGGTTGTCAGACACTTGGTATTGACGTATCCAGAAGCCTACAATGTCGTCTCATTCGACAAGTTAGACTACTGCGCATCGCTCAACAACACCAGGGTACTAGAACATGAGCCGAACTTCTCGTTTTACAGAGGCGACATTACGAATCCTTCCGAGGTCATGGACTGTCTGGAGCGATATAATATCGACACCATCTTTCACTTTGCAGCTCAATCACATGTCGATCTGAGTTTTGGAAATCCGTTCGGTTTCACTCATACCAATGTTTACGGTACCCATGTTCTGCTCGAGAGCGCCCGAAAAGCGGGCATCAAGCGCTTCATCCACGTGTCTACCGATGAAGTATATGGCGAGGTAAAGGATGATGAAGATGATCTTCTGGAGACGAGCATTCTGGCACCCACTAACCCCTATGCGGCCAGCAAAGCTGCTGCCGAGATGCTGGTGAACTCTTACAAGAAGAGCTTTAAACTACCCGTCATTATAGTGAGGAGCAACAATGTCTATGGCCCTCACCAGTACCCGGAGAGTGAGTTTATCCCTTCTTTCCCACCATGTTTGCCTTGCTAATGCCTCCGCCAGAAATCATTCCAAAGTTCACTTGCCTACTCGCCCGAGGAGAGCCCGTCGTCCTTCACGGAGACGGCTCGCCCACTCGTCGTTATCTTTTTGCAGGCGACGCCGCCGACGCGTTCGATACCATTCTGCACAGAGGTCAGCTAGGGGAGATCTATAACGTTGGTTCTTACGATGAAATCAGCAACTTGTCGCTTTGCCACAAACTCCTAGCCGAGATGGAGATTATCCCCTCTCGGCCTCCGTCATCATCACCTCCTTGCAACTATACCACATCCCCACCCTCATCGTCTCCTCTGGGGGCAGAACAAGAAGAGATCCATCGTTGGGTCAAGTACACTCACGACCGACCTTTCAACGATCACCGGTATGCCGTTGACGGTACGAAACTGCGAAAACTAGGTTGGGAGCCGAAGACAACTTTTGAAGAGGGGCTCAGGATTACTGTGGACTGGTACAGACGATTTGGGGAAAGGTGGTGGGATGATATTACCAACGTATTGAGGCCCTTCCCTATAACAGCGGGGGGCGGAGACGGGGTACTGGATCAAGAGGTGGCCGAGGTGTGTGACAAGCCCGTCACTTTGGAATCAAGAGAGAATACGGGAGTTAGAAAGTCATCCGATATACTGAAGGAAGCATCGGGTTCGTTCAGGTCACGCCACCAACAATATCAACATCAACATCATCACAAACACCGCACAAGAAAATATCATCACCACACAAGGGAAACGTCGCGAGACAACACGGATTATTATTCTAGCAGGATACCAAGAAGCTGCGCTCTAGCTTCTCCACGCCCACGAGAGCTCGCCTCCAGCACCGGCCTAGTAAGCCCAGGGATCACATTAGATGAGGACGATGGTTTCGACGATGGTTTCGACGATGAGGATTCGACATATAACCAACTAACGATCGTTTACGACGACGAGGCACGATCACGAAAGAAGCGCAAGCTTTTAACCGTGGTCGATGATATCACCAACGATAGCCACAGCTTCAACAAGAAGGCCCGGGGAAATATTACTCAAGAAGGGGGTCGCTGTGCTGAACTGTCGTGGACAGGCTTGACAAGAACGCTATGAATTTGCTTCTAGACGGGGCTACCGAGACACGAAAAGAGTTGTTTGAATGGAAATGGCGCAGGGGTAGCACCTATAGAGCGGAAAGGGGGTCAGGTACTTTTTGTTGGATCTGGAGTTCTAGAAACCATTTATTGTGCCATTCTTTTTGGTGTTTCCTTTTGATACCAGATGGAAGCAATAGGGATCGATACCGGGATGAAAACGGGAAGGTGCTTTGCTGAGCAACGCCGGAGTTTGCGGAAAGAGAACAGCTAGGAATGATGGAAAAAAACGGGTAGGTCCTGTCCAGTAGGCACGCCATGGTTCAGTTCAATGACTGTGGGGGGGAAAAAAAAATATGAAAAATTTAGGGACGACGGAGTGAGGGTCAATTAGTTGATGTGATCTTACACATAGGCTTTTGTTGGTTTTCTTGGGCTCTTTTGCACGTATCTCTCGCCCTCCTAGCGAGGAAGCAGACAAGACGAATCTTTTGAACACCTCGATTACCCCATAGGATAGCAGCGAGATCTCCTGCTTTCCCCTTTACTATTATGGAACTATGTTCCTCAAAATAGATGCGCTTAGACCACACACACACATACACATATCTACACTTTCGCCTAACTCCTGTTTCAGGGAATGTATGCTCGCTGCTCAGCCTGTTTACTGAACAGAAAGAATAAAGGTTGCCATCTCTCGATACGTTATTTGCGTCTCCACCATGAAACCTTTTTTTTTTCTTGGTAAACAGATAGATCATCTATTCTTATTCTATGCATATTCTATTTTTTGATGAAATAGCACACAAAAAAAAAAAAAAAAAAAAAGAAATAAAGGATGAAACAAGCAAACATCCACCAACAGAAAAAAAAAACGGTCCAGACCCAACAACCTGCGATTTTAATTGCAGTAACGCATTCGCTTTGATCCTTCTTTCTCTCTTGTTTTTTTTTTCTTCTTTTTCATCCCTTGTTTTCGAATTTTGGGGTCCAAATCTGTCCGGGCAACCGGTTGGTCGGACCTATTTTAACAGAGTGTAACAGACTGGCTGGCAGTCGGGTATCTGTCTGACCTATGACGTACGACGGAAATTTGTCCAAAGACGCGGATTGGTTATGGCTTATAAAAACACGTGTGAGGGGGTGGAGGTAAGGGAGAAGGGGAAAATGAAAGACCTGTTGGTGCCAGAAATTGACCGCTAGTTCAAAGTTGTGTTGCAAGCGAGGGTCGGGCCGGTCCCTCTCCCCGTCTGCCTCTCTCTCTCTCTCTCTGAGTGCGGAGTGAGGGCAGGGAAGTAGGACACGGTCTGGTATCTACGCTATGTATGTATGTACACAACGAATGCACGCCGCGTGGCAGGAGGGAGTTGCATAGTGATGAATGAGTCTGGAAGGATGGCCGGGATGCATGGAAGGACTGAAAAGAGCATGATAAGGATAATCATGAGTTTAGAAGCATCACGATTTACAGTCTTGACTTCAGGGGCTTTTCCACAGGAGGAGATGCCTGACATGCGCCTTGCTTGCCTTTGTATATTGTACTCCGCCGCCGGATGTTGGGCCGGGAGTTGTGGTGAGCGCCAGTTTGGAAGACAAAAGAATACAGCGTATATATGTATTTCCCGACTTTCATCCTGGGGTGGGGTGGAGGTGGCCGGGACATCGGGGGCCAGACCAAGAACCAACCACTAACAAAGTTCATGACATTGAAGACATGCTGCAGAGCACATGTCCGGAGTCCATAGGTCATAAACCCGAAGGTTCGAACAAGCCCTCGCAAGATGGTTCTAAATAAGTAGAAGATCTGTATGGGGCCCGATTTGTTGCTACTACATACATATGCAGTACGTAGTGTAGTCGTAACTAACGCCAGGTACGGGGGTACCGACGGAACACTTCAATGTTCGAAAATAAACATTTTTCTGTCTCTTGAGAACTCTCCACCCACATGGCACCAAACGTGTGCCTCCATACAAAGTGGGGAATGTCAAGGGGCCCCGAGTCCAGCGCACCGGGTTCGGTTTCGTCCCAATCAGCTGGTTGTTAGTGATTGATGGCTTAGGCCGAGACGATGTGTCTCGGGGGTATGCCCGTCCGCGGCGGCTGCCACTCCTGCTGTTCCCGCAGCTGGATGGTGGTACATACTGTGTGTAGGCATGGTCTGTTGTGTACGGTGTACGCAGTATGTACACTAGGCTGTGATATGTGTCGGAGGCACAAACGTACAATTACTATACGTGTATCCAATGGCGATTATGTCGCCCTTCGGAGTCTTGTGGGATACGGTCAGAATGAGATGCTGCAGGATTGCTTTCCATTGCAGACGGGGAAGCGCACCCAAGAAACGCGATGGGTCTCTTTTTTTTCATCCAGTGGAAAAAAGGAAGGGACAGAGTACCCGGAGGTCGGCCCTTTCTCACCAGTCCATCCATGTCAACGGCACTGCTCCGTCCCTGACCGTCCGTCCACCCATTCCGTTGCGGCTGACTCCACCATCCAGTGCCGGGTCAGGAACTCAAGTATGGGTGTAAGAGCGCGCACGGTCTCTCCGGCATTGGTTCGGTAGGTCTGGCTGAGAGGCTGAGTGTCGGAGAGGACCTCTCGATCCGGCAGCTGGACAAGACGGTCAATGGATAAATATGGCCATGGGACATGGCCCCAGGTGATGCACCTTTTCACCTTGTTGGTGCATCTTGTCGGATCGTGGCTGGGCCGTCGAGTGAAAACACCAAACATGGGGTCCACCTCGAAATGCACTTTGGGTTGTGATGCGACCTGTCCGGCATCCGGGTAAAACAACATGTCAGGCCACTTTCATGATCACTGATCTCTTTTGGGTACCATCAAGGTATCATCCGCTCTGTGAAAGAGTGCTACCGAGGCAGTTTCGCAGCACAATCGGGTTGGTGGTGATTCTAATCGAGTCCCCGGCCGCAAGTGGCCATTCGGGGGAAAGCCGGACGGTGAGACTCAATGCCCAGGCCCCATGTGCTTGCTCTCTTCCAACTGGCTACCGGCTGTTGGTTTTACGTGCGAGCATCTGCAGCACCACAACGAGCCGATGCTGTGCCGTACCGTACTTGTACACTACAGTAGGTATGTACATATGGGGGTGGACCTCGTTGGCCTTCGTCCCAGCTCATCGTCCTTCTCCGCTCTCATCGTCAGGGACGGGACGAGAGACGGATGGGATCCAACCTGACGGAATGGATCGATCACGACACGGGCAAATTGGAAGTGCAGTTTCCAAACCTCTAGTGGCAGCCAGTCCCAGTGGGACGGTGCCACTGTAGCTTGAAGGAGACTAAAGGCGACCCTAAGGGGCACTAGCTACAAGTGCGCTAGCTCGTCGTCCACCCTCACTTTATTAAATGCGGGCCTAGAGCCAGACGCCAGAGACTCTGGGGGTTGGGTTTGCTCTCGGTTAACAGTCCCGGTCGCCTCTCTTCTCCCTCTTCACTGTCTTTGTCTGTCGTTGGTCTATTCTTAAGTCCTTCTTCACTTTTTGCCCGTCCTGGCTCCAGCCAGTCCCGTCCCGTGCTGGTGTTACCCGTCCTCTCCGTCTGGCCTCCTCATCTGGCCGTCTCCTATTTGGCTCCGACTGGAGGTCTGGAATGACTCGGGATCTTCATCCCACTTCACCTCCTACCGACTATCTCCTCCTGCTCCTCGCTTCCTCTTGTCGGGGTTTTCTTTTTCTTGTTCGGTTTCCCCAACCCTTGTGTGTTTGTCCTATCCACACCTTCGTTTGATCAAGCAACCACTGTATGGGGGGGACAAAAACGACTACAACACTGCCGCTTTGTCACTTTACGCTGCCTCTGATGCAGCTCTTCAGCTAGTTCGCGACTTCAGCAATATTCGCCAACGAATCTAATGGATAAAAGACGGCAACGAGCAAACACGCCCAGCAGAATTATCAGGCACTCACTAGAACGATAGGACCAACAACAGCAAAAACAAAAGGAAGAAAAAATGCCACAAAATCAGAGAGCCTCTCCCGGCCCCAACGGAGCCCCGAGTGCTAGGCCTTTGGCTGGGAGTGTGCTTGGTCCTGCGGCAGTAGGTCAGCAAGCAGGAAGTCAAAGCCCGTCAGGAGACGCTCCGATAATAATGGACAATCCCGCCATTGCTCAGCTCGAGGTAGACGACGAAAACGAAGACACGGTATCCATATACACCATGGATGCCTACCCCAATATGACGGCTGCGTACCAAGTCGATCGTCCTCATCACCCTGGCTCTGGCTCTGCGCATGATGATGCCACAATGTGCGTTCAATGATCTTTGCCCAAATGACGTCTGTATCTGTAATAGCAGAGGCGTACTCACAGTCTGCTTTTCCTTCTTCCAGTGACTCGGCGCGAACATTATACGCCGAAGATGTCGACTACACCACCGAGCACGATCGGACCTACTGTGGCGACTACTTCATGCCAGTTGACCAGACCGAGCAAACGCGCCAATATGTAGCTCACCAAGTGTACCTCAAGCTGTTTAACCTCGAGCTGACCACGGTACCGTTGCACAACCCTAGCTACATTCTCGACATCGGCACGGGCATCGGTGAATGGGCGATAGGAATGGCGGAAAAGTATCCGCGGTGCGAGGTGTTCGGAACCGATATTGCGCCTATCCAGCCAACCCATCAGGTCCCCTTCAACGTCGAGTTTCACATTGAGAACGCCGAGGACGAGTGGATTCGCCCAGCTGACGCAGTCGATTTGGTCCATTTCCGGAACATGGAAGGCGCCTTTTCAGACTGGCGCTACATCTACCAGCAGGCGTACAACTGCCTCAAACCCGGCGGCTGGATCGAAGTTATCGACTACGACGACCACTTCACCTCCGAGAACTTCCTATCCTACTTCGCGCCAGACTCGCCCGCACACCTGTTGGCCAAAGGGGTTTTGGAAGCCGCGCGAGTGGCGGGGCGGCCGCGTGGGATTGACCACATGAGCAAGGAACTCCTCGAGGAACTCGGGTACGTAGACGTCAAGGAAAGCGTGTACGACATGGGAGTCGGTTCCCGCGAAAACAGCAGCTACGGGAGCTTTTATCTGTTCACGGTCGTCACGGGCCTGGAGGCATGCTGCTTGCGCTCTCTGACCAAGTTTCTGGGTTGGGATCCCAAGGTGGTGCGGGACATGTGTAAGCAGACTGCCCTGGAGACGAGGGCGATTGCCGAGGACACCTCGAGGACGGGTAAATTTGTGGTCAAGCTCCGGGTCATGGTTGCCAGGAAACCAACGGCGCAGGAGCAGTGGCTTGTGGCCAGGGGCACAGTACCAACAGAGTCTGACTGCGGGACGCTTCGGGATGGAGACCAGAGCACGATTAGGTCGGTGAAGACGGTGAAGACGGCTATATCGGACGCGACGGGGCAAGAAGCGCGGCCCGTTTCTCAACGCTCGAAAATCACCGAAGGATGAGATCTAAAGACACGGATGAGGGTTTATCTCTGCTTGAACCGGGGAAAACTGCATGCGAAACTCGGAAAGAGCAGAGAAAATGGACGAAGCAGTGTCTTGAGAGGATGACAGCATGTCGAGCAGAGTACAGGATGCTTCGTTGTTGCATCCCTCTGGTTATGTAGGTAGATACCCGGGCGTGCGAACCTGTATATGACAGACATGGAAATAACTCTTTTGCAAACATTCGTGTTGCCTATAGGTGAATGGCATAATTCAACCAATTAGAGAGGACAAGAGGAAGCCCTTCAAGTGCAACCTACCGACATGTCGCATTCGTTCGGTGCATCAAGCTATTGGATATGTGCAAAATAATGCCGAATATATATATATAAATATATAGTTTTTCAGGTTCATGATGAAGCAACTAGAACGAGAATACCGGACGCTAATTCGGAAGAAGGCAATGCAGCGAGGAATTAAGACGAACAATGGGTTCCATGTTGTGAAGAACAGACAAGCTCCTTTGGTCGTTCCTCCATGCTCCATAATGGTGATGCTCCTTCCCGCGTTGTTTGAAGTGATGTGAACTTGCAATCACGGACTGGTGACTGGAGTAGGAATGAAATTGGGACCCTTCTATGGTGCTAAGTAGGCTTAGTAGTATCTGATTCCAGTCGCCTGCCGGTAATCTAAAAGCCTGGTGACACCGGTTGACCATGAATTTTTCAAAATCGAGCCCGGCGTGTCAGCACCTCCCAAGTCTCTACTTGTCCCGATCACGCTCCGACCGGGACTCTGGGTGTTCAAATTATTTTGCACATCCTACGTAACCAACCCATCAGGTAGAACTTGGGGAAAAAATAAAAAGAAAGGAACATACAGCACCTGGGATTCGCTGGTCGTCACCGACCCAACTACTAGTCAGGCGATATGGAGGCAAGACGGTAAGTAGGGAGGCGGTACTGAAAAGATTAATATAGGTAATTGGGCGGATTACGAGAAAAGTTGACCGTCCTGATATTGCGACTATATCTTTTACACGGGTAATACCCAAGATTGCACTCGGTCAGAAGACCATTCCTAATTAGTTCCTAGTACTCCTCGGCCCAGTCATACCTCTATATATGCAAATAAGAGTGTGGCAAGGGAATCTGTCGCTCTTGTCTTGTTGGATCACGGTTTGATCTATTACGACAAATTGATCACAATGGACCTCCTTTATATACTTGCCTTAACCTACCTCCTCCATTTGCCTGCATTAGCCTACCTCTTCCCTTCTATCCTGGCATGTTACAACTATGGTGGTTGGCTTGCAACACACTGCCGGCGTGGCCGCCAACACCTTTGTAAACGAGTCGATCAGCTCATAGAGCTGCATACCAGGGCTGCGAAACAAGGTGACGGCGGTGTTGAGAGCGATAAGGCAACCACAGCTCTACTATGTAGGATCAGAAGCAGGCAGCTTCCAAGGACGACATCCACGCGCTGTCCCTGATCCTGCCGCACTTCAACTTCCTGTGCATGCTCTCCTACCTCGGCGGCGTCAGTTCGGGAAATGTGGTCATGCTCAGGCGATACTGGCAAGATTGACGCAAATGACGGACAACGCTACATATAGCGGCAGAGAATGGGCATCAGGCGGTTGTTAAGCTACTCAGCCTTGCATCCTAAGAGGCATGGAGGCTTGGAGGACAACTTGTTATCGGGTGGGCCTATCCCACCCTGATTGTGTGGGTCCAGCCCTCACACCCAGACCCTTTCTACACAGTACAATCTAGCCCTCCACATTTCTTTTCCTCCTTTGCTCTAGCTTCTCTTCGTAACACACACATCTACACATCGTTTTGCCCTCTAGTCCAAGACAGCTATGTACACCTCGATTCAGCCTTGAATGGTACTGGGCAAAACTCCCTTCCAGCTATTTAGGCTGCCCTGGCTTCCGTTTCTCTTCTTCCGTTAACCAACAACAATCAAAAGCCCTTTTTCGTTGTCGCCTTTTCCAGGCCACCGACAAGCGCTCTATCATGGCGCCAACGCGCAACTCGTACCTAGCGTACAAGCGCGATACCAGTTATCTCATCTATTGGATTGTGCAGACATCCAATTCCATCATCAAGTCTCTAGCAGCGTCCGATAGCCCTGTGAATGGAATCGATGGCGCCCCTATGGTGCCTCTCACCTCGGCCGGGATCACCGTTGCAGGCCTGGTTTCCCTTTCCAAGTTCGTTGGCAAGCATATCGACAGTGTTCCCTCGACTATTCTCGCCCTCTTTCAATCCGTCATCGAGGCAAGAACAGCTACCCATGCCGCTTTTCAGCAGATGACAGCCAGGACTCCGGACCCGGATGTCGAGAAGAGCAATACTTCTCACATGCGCTTCATCAATGCCTTGAAAGAATCGTTTGATGCGCTTGGTGGTCGAAACTGGAAGCCCAATTCCTCGCCCGACGAGTCAGACCTTCTGGCCAACACCGAGCACGTCAAGGAAGAACTCGATCGCTTGCTGGCCAACAAATTCGGTGCTCTTGAGATTCAACGGTCTCCAGAAGCCGACGAAGCCTCTGAGCAGGAGGGACCTCAGGAAATCCACAGCAACGTCTTGCGCCAACGGAAACAGACCAAGCCAGGCAAGGGCAAGAAGGGCAAAAAGGGGAAAGCCAAGAAGAGTTCAAAGCCCAAAACTGCGCCCGCCAAGGAAGACTCGGAATCTCTCGAAGGTGTGCCACTGGAGAGCTACCGCATCATTCAAGATCAAGATGGTATTGTTACGGACTACCTTATGGCTGTTTACGATCTTATCAAGGAATGCATGACCCTCCGAAACTACTTGCAAGGCATCTGGCGCGAGGTGGCCTATGACGGGCTCAATAGCGCAGTAGCGGGTGCCCTTTCTAATATGGCCATCGCCATGGTTCAGCGCTCTGCATCCGAGATGTTTGTCGATTTCCCCGACCATGACTCCTATGAGACCGTTATGAATACGATTACCCGTGGGAATGTGGAGAAGGCGCAGGGCATGTTCCACGTCTTCCTAATGTTCTTTGAGCCAGGTAGCAATACCCCACAGAGAAAGGAACAACAGGAGGTGGATATCAAGGAGCAGTTCCTGATTAATGCCTACCACGATCTTCTTGATTTCGTTACCGATTTCCAAAAGACGCGAACGGGCAAGCCGACGAAGCGGATGCTGGAAGAGATCAGGAACTGGGATCCCAACTTTGACCTGAGGCACGCTACGAAGGAAGAGCGTATCAGATGGCGTCGCTCATATACCATCAACTGGCTCTATGACCTGGTCAATGTCTTTTCTTCCATTGTAGTTCAGCGCAACACTTTACGGGGCGAAAAGCACGTATATGAAAAGGTTGACTGGTCTCCAACGGGCCCATGGGCCCAGCATCGGCGACTGTTTGGGCTAAATGAGTTTGCTGGTTTCGTAACCTCTCTGGCCATGCAGAAGCCTGGCACTGATGTTAGAAACCGGATTCTTCCCCATCATGTCTTCCAACTGCAATGCATCGTCGATTCGCTGACCGTGACCAGGGGCTGGTCACATCACCTCCTCAAGGGACATGTTGTCGTTGCACCGCCGCCCAGCTATAGGTTCCGTCCCCGTCGCGATGTCGACTTTTTCTTGGATCGCGAGGTTACGCGGGATGGTCGAGGCATTCTTCAAGCATTCGACGTTCTAGAACAGCTCTTTGAGAGAGATGGCGCACTGCACGGAGATATGAGGCGGCATGCGGCTAATTGCGAAATTCTCGAGGGATTCCATCTCGACTATATGAATTGGCTCGGCGAATCCAAGTACATGCATGGTCTCAATACCATCCCTCCTTCTCGCTTCTCGCACACTAATGCTAACGGGCTGTGGGAGTACTCGCCCTTCCTTTGCGGTACCGGTCTCGAAGAAGGTCTGGAGTTAGCGTATATATCCGGAATGACGATCTGGGATCGCCTCCCTGAGCCCATGATGCTGCTACACTTGCACAACATGTTGGTTCAAGAAGGCTACATCGAGAAGCCAGTCGGCCTATTTGCAACTTTACAGGAGCTATTCCCAGAGTGTTTCTTTCCCGACGGAAAGCCGCCTGTTGCGAACTATGATAAGGCGTTGCAAACAATGGTGGACAACCGTGGCTCCCCAAGGGAAAGGCAACAAGTAAGAAGGGTTGCTACCTCGGCAGCAGACATCCATGGGATCTTGAACCCCAAAGTCAATGACTTTTTCCGGAAAAAATCCACTCTGGTTATCTTACGCGAAGCGGGTTGGAACATCGACCGCATTCCCGATGCCGATGTCTCTTTCCCCTCGGTGCTGGGCATGCTCCGCATCACCCAGGCAAAGCACATTACTGATCCTGCCACAGGCAAGAAACGGATTGAGGAAACAGAAATCACCAAGAGGGCCAAAGCCAAGGGCATGAGCGAGGAAGACATGTTCAACATGGCGAAAACGATGGAGGTTTTTCGGGCCACGAAAATGAAGGCGAACGAGATCCCCGCCGAGCGGGTCGCCCATGCCATGAAGCCCGATTACTCCCGCTTCCCTGATCGGTCCGATCCGCGCTCCACGCGTAAGGCGCGCATGGCTGCCGGAGGCGAGTGGGTCGACTTTTCCGACCGCGACATGCTCGACTTCATGAAGTTGGACATCCAATCCGACATCTCGGGCGAGCGTCCGCTGTCGGCTCTAAACTTTCTCTGGACGACCACTTTCTTCTACATGGTCTTCATGAGGATCGAGGAAGAGCTGGAGAAGAAGAGGAACCCACTTTGGGTGCGCGCGTACAAGGAGGCCCGCGGCCCGCTCGCGAAACAGAAGCGCCTGAGCCTGACGCTATTGGCCATGATTGAGCAAGATGAGGAATGCTTGGAGGTCATGGCTGATATCTTCACGAACCCGCGAGCAGGGTTTTTGCAGTTCATTTACTGGGACGACATCGAGTTCGTGGCTGAGAAGGTAGGAAAAGATCCCCGGCCCCGGCCTAGGTCGGCTGCTTCGGGCGATGTTGGCCCAGATATGGATCAGTGTTTAGTCATGTAGATGGCTCAGCATGTTGCGAGGTATTCAGGGGATAAAGAGATACCAGGGCATTAAAGTTGTACGAGAACTAGTACTCGTCAGGTCTTCAAAACCGACCGTGGTATCGAGTATCCGGAATATAAGATGGGACGTACCTCTCACACATTGGTAGCCAAACTATTACTCTTGGCGCCAAGTTATAAAGTCACTCCTAGTTTGATACTTCTTTATAACTTTGCGAAAAGAAACTGCAACGAAATGCTGATTGAACCCGTAAACGCAGCGCGCCCAGTAGCCGGCTTTTTTTTTATCGGGTTGTCGTGAGGTTGATGCAGCGGGCGGAAGAGAAGGAGTTGGGACTTGGGATTTTTGTTTGGGCGTGTGGAGTTCCGTTGGTAGGCTTAAAAGGTACGTCTCGTTGTATGTTCCGGATATGCACTCCCCACTCTTGGGAATACCCTCGTTCGGAGTTTCCAGTTATTCAAGTCAGTAATTTTGATGGCAAAATCATTCGCTAGGAATGCGAGATGGAGGCTGAGTTGAGGCGACACTGGGGAGTTCAAGTCTCGTCAATCAAGCAAAAAGCCCGAAGCGGTGTAAGACTCCATTTATATCACTCTTTTGTACGGTTTTGGTATAGAAATGGCCGTATGAGGCCACTTATACTGCAACCGTACCGGAACAAATGCAGCCTAAGGAGGTGAACCTGATCGACATGAAAGGGAACGTTTTTTGTAACATCATGTCCGTCTTCGATACGAATTGATATAAGCTAGGAAGGGTCAGTTATTATTGGAAACGACAGTTCCAGGCTGGCTTGGTTTTGGTGCCGGCCAAAGATGAGGGTGACAAAGGAGGGTCGACCGTCCACCGGCGGGTCGGTTGCCTTTAGGACGGGCGAGTTGTTAGATTGTCTTGTTATGTAATGCATTCGACGGGAGTGAGATTTCGTTCGGTCTTACCCGTCTTCTAGTCCCTTTTCCACGCCCAGGTCTTGGCTTACCCACCCAAAGCGGAACGGAGGCCGTCATCGTATCCTCAGATATCTCGTATAGACCCTAGTACAAGTAAAACGTCTAGTGTACAGCGCGATGTAAATCATCGTCAGTTTTCATTCGTGGAGTTTCCAAACATTTTCCATACGATGCCTTTATGCAATGATCAGCTCTTTCCCTCGTCATCACGGCGAATGAACGCAGCCCTTGGGCGTTTACAAGAGAGCCGGGTTCCGAAGCTAGAACGCCGGTACGGCTTGGCCCGCTTGACCTACCACCTAACTTCAACGGTCAAAGCCGAGGACAACGGTCAGGAGGACCTGAACTCGTATCACGCTTCGCTTGGAGTATACGGAGTTGATTGAAGGCTGCAGAAGCAGGCTACGAGCTACTCGAAGACGTCGAGATTGGAGATGACGGGTGTCGGCCGTGGGCGGGCGGCTGCATGTATATATTAACGGCATCTCTCCAAGCTATAACGGCTTCCTTTTGCTCCTCACTCCTCGCAATATCATCACAATCGCTACTCGCCTCTTAATACATCCAATCTTAATCATCCCACATTCGCTATCAACGCACCTTCACAACCACCACCCACCCAACCATCACCATGCAGTTCACCACCCTTGCCCTCAGCGCCCTCTCGGCCGCCACCGGCGTCTTCGGCGCCCCCACCTCCCAGGAGGCCGGCACCACCAGCCCGGACCAGGTCATCTTTGGCGTCATGTCGATCCGGTCCGCCAGCCCCGTGCACCTGACCGCCTGGGGCGCCGAGCACAAGGGCATCTTCACCAACCTGTCCAAGCAGGACGCCGATTGCTACAACAACCCGGCCCAGAACAGCGCCACCTTTGTGCTCAACAAGGCCGACGGCACGCTGTCCCTCTACACGGAGGGCAAGCCGTGGCAGCAGCTCTTCGTCGACCGCTCCGGCATGGGCCAGGGCATGATGCAGTACACGACGGGCGCCGAGCCGGCCCCGCGCAACGCCGAGCGCGGCGGCTGGGCCATCGACGAGGCCTCGCAGCACCTCACCTTTGCCGGCAGCGACACCTTCCTCGCCTGCCCCAGCGACGCCGACTCGTACCGCATCCTGCCCTACGTCGGCATCGAGAACCCCGCCGGCTACACCGGCTGCCTCAGCATCGCCGCCCGCGTCGTCGTTGCCGAGAACCCTGTCAAGTGCCTGTACTCGCAGAACTAGACGCGGACGCCTCCAGACGACAAACCACCTACGACTACGACATGCTATAATGGGAGAGTGGGATTAGCGCAATTATGATTGTAGCGTGGCGACTTGGACTTGGATATATAGGGTATAGACGAGTATTTCTAACCCACAAATAGATGTACAATGGCAATCCAAACAAATCTCTAGACTTGTGATTCTCCTTGTGTCTGTCGTCTATCTTCATCCCGTTTCGCGTGTCGCTGTTACCCCGAGGCGTCACCCCCTTTCTCACTTCAAGGCCGTAACGTCAGCGACCGACTAATGAGCTTTTGTTAGTGTTAAGGGAGTGCCAAATCATCACCCACCAGCCAGAATAAAAACCAACCCACATGGGGAGGAAGGGGGTAAAAAGGAAGAAGGTGGAGCGAGCTCATTATCCTGGAACCCAGATATCCTCAGGGTACGCGAGATCGAAGCACCTATTTGGCACATCACTGATAGATAGACATGTCAGCCGGACACTGCACCTTCACACGCTTTCCCCCTCCCTCGCCCGTAGTCTAAGCTCAAGACACACAGAGTTATCAGGTCATGTCTGGCACGGGAGGTCTAGTTATTTGAGCTTCGACAATACTCGTTATTATTCAGCTTTTTCAAGACATAGTAATACCTGTTTGTGTGCCTAACTTGGCTCACGCTTCCCTTCGCTATGCTCTTCACTTTTGTACGCATAGTTTTAGCTCTTCGTTTCCATCCGGGCACACTGAGGGCTCAACATACGGATGCTAAGCCCAACCTAACAACTGGTTCTCTTTCTTTTGACTTTTTAGTAATGCATGGTCGACATTTCTCCTCTTCCTGATATTCGCGCTGCAATACCGTACTCTACAACGGACTGGCAGACGCCTTACCCGTCGTTTTATTTCCCATCCAAGCAAAAGCAGATGCACTACCAAGAGGGTTTGTGGCCGATCTGGGAGCCGTCGGTGTCTTAAGTCCATCCTGATGCATGGGACTGCTCACCGTGGTTGCCAGTGACGAGGACCTTTGCTCTCTAGTCTCAATGCCCTTGCCACCTTCCAAGTTTCCAAGGTTGGAAGCGCTAGCACTGGTGCTCAGACTGCGTTTGGAGGGACCCCAGCTGCCTACCGTAGGGCTGCTAGTGTTGGTCTGACTGTCTTCCGCCACAGCAGCGCTAGCTGTTGAGCCCTTGGTCCGTCGCAGATCAGTTCCGTTAGACCGCGGAATGGAGGGAGATTCGAGCGCACCCGTCGACCTGGTAGTTGACGGTGAGTTTGGACCGGCAGTGCTGTTGCTGCTAATGGAAGATATCTTTGTCGGCCGTAAGATCTTCATACTGCGACCTCTTGCAGCTGGCTGGTAGCCGCTCAGCGGGGTGCTTTCCTTATCGGCAAGACTGGCAGCTGTTTGTCGCCACGGAGTCCTGATGGCCGCGCTAGGTTCCCGGCGAGCGGTGTCGGTCGTTGAAATGGGCGTAGAATTTTCTTTGGCAGCGTCTCTAGAGACGTCTTCAAGGACTACAGAATCGGCTGGAGCAGATGGTGGCCGCTGCTGCTGTTGCTCCTGTTGAGGTTGCTCCTTATCATACCCTCCACTCGCTTCATTTGATGCCGTGCTGGTTGCCTCAGTGGTCGTCTTCACTGGTTGACTTGGCGACCTCACAGGCGACGGCAGTGCTCCCTCCGAGACAACATCTCCATTCTGCTTGGGGACCGGGTCTTCATTGCTTTTGGCCGACGGTTTTGCGGCTCTGTCTCCAGCAACGAACTCGGGCGCGGCAGCATTCAGCTTGGGCTTATTCCCAGGGGCCATATTCGTGACTGCAAGGTTTTTGAACACTGCATCGTCCTCAGGTCGAACAAAGGGTACAGAAAGCTTGTCCCTGTCGGTACCATACAATGTCATTGAGTTTTGAGAAAGCAGAAGGTCTGCACTATGCAACCTCAACGTGTGGTTACCGATAAAGACGCGGATACTCTTCCTGGTTTCAGGACTTTCTGGTTGATCCATGCCTGTCACTTCAAAAGAACACGTGATGCTGGGCGGTAGTGGGTGAATCGGGCTGACAGACCTAGAGTTGGATTGAATGACTCTAGCTTCGGTAAGGAAAACCGGAAGATCGATCCTGTAAATGCCGTCCATTCCTCTTTGCATTTGGTTGGTTAGGTTCAGGTCTTTAACCACACTATAGTCCACGGTTGACTTTTGTGAACCAGTACAGACGACGGCATAGAGCAACCTTTTGTTCGTGATGTTATCAGTCAAGCAACAGCGGATGATGGACGGAGCTGCACCCAGATAAAAGAAGCCTGGGGGAGGTTCCGGGACATCAAGGGGAGAGTCGTCCTCCACCCCACCAATCGAGAAGTTGGTATCAAGACCGAGACTGCTAGCTCGGCCAGAGGCGGTTGAATGCACTGAATGAACAGAATGGCCGGCAGAGCTATGCCTCCCATCAGACTTGTGAGACGAAGAGCGCTCAGTCATCGGATGGCCTCCCATGCCACTTCCAGGGCGCGTCAAGCCATATTCGGTCGAGTGACGGGTGCCATGATGGCCACCCCATCCGTGCAGAGCGCTTTCATCGAACCGCACACTATTCGCCCTCGATGCTACCCCTCGTCGTATAGGCTCGTCTTCAGGCTCAAGCTGCAGTCTACCAAGCAAATTTTGGCCCTGCTCGTCAAGATCGTCAAACAGATCGTTGGCTGGCAAGTGAACTGGCCCTGAAGTGTTGTTAGTGAAGCCCTGATTGACGAAAGGACTATCGTGAGCTGCGAAAATCTGACCATGCTGAGGGGTTGTCGTCCCGAGCATACTTGGGAACGGCGAAC